CTGGTGCGCACGGGGATCCTGCGCGAGACGAGCGGGGTCCCCGACCTGGTCCAGTGCAAGATGGTGGGCCAACTGGTCTTCCAGGTGATCAGCGTGGCCAACGGGGCCGTCTACGTTTTGCTGGCCCCGCTGGTTCTGTTCAGCCTCCTTAGGCTTTTCGTTTGGGACACCGCGTTTGTCTCCGTTTACGAAGTCCTTCCCGCCCTGGACCTGCTCAAAAGGCGTCAACTGGGGTGCCCCCTCAATGATCTCAACGTGCTGCTGCTCTTCCTGAGAGCAAACGCGTCGCACCTGAGGTCCTACGGCCAAGTGAGGGCCCTGTGCTCTCTGGCGCCGCCGCAGGTGGGCGGTGGAACTGCACCCGGAAAGGACCTGGGCGCCATGCTGACCCAGGAGGAGGTGGAGGAGCGGGAGGAGGCGGCCATGGAGCTGGCCGAGGAGGTCGAGGAGGCCAAGGAGGAAGGGAAGCTGGACCTGGTGGACATCATGACCATTCTGGGAGCCGCGCAGGGGAGAGTGGTGAACTGCAGCGAGAAGAAGCCCCTGGTGGAGGAGAATATGAGCCTGGGTACCACAACACTCATCTACACACTCAAACGCATTCTGCTAGCGGCTGTCTTCACTTTCATCATTTGGGACGTGCAGAAAATAATTCAGTGACGTCCGGACTTTGGGTTCTGGTTTACAGCTCCTTCCTAACGGGGACGAGGTTTAAATTTGGGAAGACTTAAGAAACAAGTCGAGTCATTTGCTTGTCTTTTGTTTTTTTTCAAACTGAAATTGAAAGAACCTACATTTCTAAAAGAGTCTACGGACTTCTTGGCAACAAGTGAGGGGTAGATTGAAGGAACCTACATTTCTAAAAGAGTCTGTGGACTTTCTGGCTAGCATGTTAGGGGTAGATTGAAGGAACCTACGTTTCTAAAAGAGTCTGCGGACTTCCTGGCTACCCTTTAGGGGTAGATTGAAGGAACCTACATTTTTAAAAGAGTCTACGGACTTCCTGGCTAGCGTGTTAGGGGTAGATTGAAGGAACCTACGTTTCTAAAAGAGTTTGCAGACTTCCTGGCTAGCGTGTTAGGGGTAGATTGAAGGAACCTATGTTTCTAAAAGAGTCTTTGGACTTCCTGGCTAGCATGTTAGGGGTAGATTGAAGGAAGCTACGTTTCTAGAAGAGTCTGCGGACTTCCTGGCTACCCTTTAGGGGTAGATTGAAGGAACCTACGTTTCTAAAAGAGTCTACGGACTTCCTGGCTAGCATGTTAGGGGTAGATTTGTGGTCCTTCCGTGCCCTAACTGCCCTCTCTGTCTCTTCACAGAGCCAAACCACCTGGGGTACCATGAGTTGAAGGAGACCGCACCATTTAGTCATTACTAGGCCTTCAGAGGACCCACTCAGTGGTGGGGAGCCTCTTTTAGGATTACGGGGCCGATTTCTTCGGGCTCAAAATGTCAATTGAGATAAGTTTTTGAACTCCTCGGCTGCTGGGCACCTGTAGCTGCCACATACCTCTGTTCTTTGTCTCTCTCTGCTTTATAAAGTGTGTTTAAGGGAGAGTAATTTATGGGCAAACGGGGACAGATGTGTGTGAAGAGATGACAGTCGTGTCCGGTTACAGCTGTGGAGGCCAGTGGCAGGAATCTGACTTCTACTGGGGGATTAGTTTAATATAGGTTACTGAGTATTTTAACTTATGTGCTTGCTTTCATTTTCTGTCTTGCCTTTGTTGCCATTTGTCTTATAAAGACTTCAATCAGACTTTAATCCCCAAAAATATATAAATAATAATTCAATATTTGACTCCCTGAATGGAGATCTTGTGCTCCAAATGTATTGATTTTTTTGTATGTATGTGTATTTGTTTGTGTTTTATGGAAATCTGTATTCTGTGTATCCCAAATAAACAAAATCTTTTCCAGCAGGCGTTTCTTTTCCCTCAAATCCAGTTATTTTTTCTCCATGTAGAGTTAAAGTTTGCTTGGTGGTTTTATTTTTGGTGCCGGCAAATTTGCGATATTTCACACAAACGTCAGTTAAAAACAAACAAACCAACGCACGCACACACACAGACACACAACTTACTGATAATTACATTTACAGTAAGTGAAGTACACCCTAATGTGATGACAGACGACTTTACATCGACATAGATTAAAACGTTTTATGAGTTGTTAAGTCCAGTCGCAATGCTGATTAATATCCTCACACTCGGCCAAGTCGATGCATTTTTAACTGTTCATTACCCAGACGATGCAGCCGGTAGTTGTTAAAAATTCAGCGTCCAGCTTCAATCGTGCAAACCGAAAGATTTACAGCGTCCTGCTCTGGTAAATAAATCCAGCGAATTACCCGTGGAGCAAAGCATGCAATTATTCTGATGCAGTCAGAGGCACAAAAGCAGCTGAACCTGGTGGTTAATCGGGATAGCTGCTTTACACGAGGCCGATCTGACACATATAATGAGCCCGTGGCCTCTTCGGGTGCCCAATCACATAAGATGTGTGTTCCAGAATACCCTCGGACTTCCTGGTTTTGTT